GTGAGCTGAATTTTTTTTTTTTTTTTTGGTTACAATGGGAAAATTAGAAGTTATTAGAACTATAGGCCTATGTATTTTCTACATATTTGTAGACTATCAAGGCCCAAGGCCCATCATGTAAAATCGATGAAACCTCTGAATGAAACCCCTGGGCCCTTAGTTGTCATATTTTTCGGCTCCGCCAACTGGACCACTTTCCAAACATTTTAATCGACACCCGACCACGCCCACTTTGCTCTCGTCGCGGACCTGCTCTCATCGCGGACCTTCCCTCCCCCAGATTGTACATTATACCTCACTTGCTACCCTCTCCCCTCCCCAGATTTCAGAAGCTGGCGCCGCCACCGGTCGTGTTTGAAACTAACCAACTACCTAAGGGGTGACGTTCGCGAACGTATGTTTTACAATTACTGTATTAGATACAGATCCGTCAAAAAAGTAATAAATTGGAAAAAAAAAAGTCCGTCCCCTCTTCCTCCTCCCGGCCATGGAGGATTACCTCCGCGATTTTTGGTGTCATCCGGGTCTTGTGTAATTGTTGAGTTCCTGTTTCCCAGCAGCCACGGAAATGAGATAATTCACGTGATTTTCCTTTGAATTGGTCACATGCTCATGCATGTTGCACAATGATGATATGACCTCGTCGTTGTCGTTCACCAAAAAAACTGCACTCTGAAGAAGTAAAAGTAGGTGGTAGAGGCTGCAAGACTCTTGCTATCTTGATCATCGAATATCACCTTTACTATACGTACCATTTAAAACAAACTCCTTTCATGATGCGTCAGCTAATTGCAGTTCTTTCTTTTGCTTTACTAGCTTGTGGTAAGAAGGGTTTTTAGTGCCAAATTCCGTAATAGGAGAAAGTGTATCGTACGTAGTCCTAGGCCCTAGGCCTACTGTACGTCTGATTGAATACAGACAGGTCTCACGCAGCACAGTGGGGCCTAGGCCTAGTAGTATTAGAAAGTGAATTAGAAAGGTTCTAAGACGCCCCAGCTTATAAGGTCGAGAAGTTGAATATTTTTCCCTGGTCTAGAAGAGGACAGAATATTAGGCCTAGCCCCTAGGCATAATATAGTATAGGCCTAGCTAGGCTAGGCCTAGTTGGATACAGTCAAGTTTGCATATTAAAAACTAATATAAGAAGCAAAAACATTACACACATTTTTTAAAGACACAGTATTTGACGTGAAACTTCGGAACAGACACAGATTTTTTAATGTTTGCGCGTGCGTCGGGGCGTTGCGTTCCTTATAGAATCGCGTCAGCCGATGACTGTTTATGGATTAATATATTTAGCTTTTCATACCTGTGTAGGTCATGCACTGTGTTCCTGTGAATCTTGTGCATATTATATGAGAATATTTATATAATTGAAAATAAGGTAAGAGACACATTCTGTGAAGTTTATTCACACCCGGTCATGTGATATATAGTAGGTATAACTGGGGAATGTAAGGTGCGATCAGTGTGAAAATATAGGAAAAGGTAATGTTATAGTTTCAAAAACAACCATTTAGTGTTTATTTACAGTACATTGTTAGCATGCTTTGTATGCTTTGGAATTTATGTAACCCATTGTAAACCTTAGCTAGCCTAGAAATCGTAGGGTTTCAAAATTGCAGTTTGTAGATCGAAGACTCATTGTGCATACCTAAACAAGCCCTAGATATGCAGAGGCCTACAGTAGGCCAAGGACTTCTCGAAAAATTGGTGTTTGGAGCCAGTGTCTTTTGGAGCATTAGCAAAGCATTATGGTAAAATTCTCAAGTTTGTTTGATATTCCAACTAACATGTTCAACATAATGTGCTTTATAGCAGAAACACTCAGAAGAAGCCATACGTTTATATCCTATTACTGAGTGTCAGTCGCGCTGCCTGTTTACAATTTGTACCCACTATGCGTCACTGACCAATTTAGCTTGAGCCAGGCTATTTCAAAGATTAAAAGAAGGTACTGTACTGTAAATCTCTGACAGCCATCAGCAAAAGTTAGTTTGTACTGTACTTCTTATGATCTATTTTCTGCTTGACGCAGGGTTCCCTTAACGCCGCCCTCAGCGGCGAGTGCGAAGCACAAATCCGGGTCAAAAGTGGAACGTGAAATTTGGATATGGCTTCGTAGTCAGATTTGCGAGAAAAACTTCAGCTACCCGTATTTCTCGACTGAGACGTCTGTGGGAGCTGTAATTTGTATGGCAAGGAGGTTGTGCAACCCTTAATTCATATTAAGGGAATTTACGCCCAGAAACCTTGTAGTTATTAATATTTTGGTTATAATAGAAAATATTCATTTTTTGGTGACGTCACTCACAATGTAGTTAGCATGCATACATCATAAGCTAGATTACGTCACCTTTTCCTGGTAAGGCAAACTATCCCGGCGTGCTTTTTTCATGGATAAACAAACACCACTGCTTTGCACATGGATGCCTTGTCCTAGCTAGGGATACAAGAGCCACATTGTTAGCATTGTATAATACGCACAAGGTACCTCTGCAACTGAATTATTCTTAGTTAGGCCTATTTGTTTTTGTTTTTTTAAATTTTATTTTAATTTATTTCTTTCGAAAGTGTACTTTCTATCACATATTGCACTGTCTAGTTAGGCCTAGCCCTAGTCTTATTATATATGCCTCATCGTCATCCGCTACACAGTACATCAGTACATCAGGTGTTCATGTATTGGCATATTGTTAGCTAACCAGTTGTGTGTATTTCTTTGTGAAAATGAGTACCGCGGCGTACTCATTTTCACAAAGCATTTGCATCCCCTCTTGAAAAGAATGAACTTCGAAATAATTCGCTAATTAAATTAATCACCGTAATTTAGCTTACACTTATGAACTTAGCTAGTGCTTAAAATGTACAATAATCATTTCACTACCCGACAAACTCCGAAATTTATTCATTTGGCCTACATAATAGTTTCATCTTGCTGTACTATATACTCCAACATCACTGGCGCATGGTAACAACCAATACAAATAACATTGTAAAATAACATGTAGATGCCTCTATGTATAAAATAACCAATATTGGGATTTTAGTTGACCTTATCAACGAATTCAACACTAGTCTGTAAATATTGATCACAAGGTTCTCCAATACAATAAAAGCTATTCGATTATTGAAATTTGTAGTTGACTACCGTGTCTAATCGTGTTCAATGTACTAACAAATTTAAATCTATCTGAATTCCATCTCTATTGGGTTGCTTCAAACAACTGTGCTTTTACCTTTAGAGTGCGTTTAAGTAAGGAAAAACAAATTCAAAAAATTGTATTTGAAGTCTTGTACTGTACAACAGGGTTCTGGAGTAAATATTCTTTCTATTGTAGGCCTATACATTTATCAATTATTAATGAACTATATTATATTACAATATGTGCAAAATTACACTGATATTAATTTGCCAATATTCATCAAAGTATTATACTGTATTGACTGTAGAAAATGAGAGTGCTGATTCAAAATGTAACTACTGTATAAAAACATGGTGGAGAAACATAACCTACGAGGGAGACCTCACAAAGGAAGTATTGTTTGGGAACTTCTTTTGTAGGCAGTGCACATTAAGGGGGTTTCACACTGTTTGCTCTCACGCGTAAAGCCGAAATTTAATCTAAAGCCTTGTCCACACTATTACATTCTATGTGACAATTCTGATATGTCCATATTTGGGTGTACAGTAATGTCCTATATTGGCACTTTCTTGCAAACTTAAAATGTGATAGTGTAGACAAAACTTAATACAATTTGAAACTAAGATGAACGTGATGATTGTAACAAGGAAGTGGACTTGCGGTGATTATAAAAAAAAATGAGGGAAGTGCTTTGATGTTATCTGGTACTTTATAATAGAAATAAGTCGGATGTGGTAGACTTAAATGTGCAATTTGTCCATTTCCTGTACATGGTTCATACAACAGTTTTTTTGCGAGTCTGGTTAAAACAGAATAATTACATGGCATGTTTGTATTGTTAAAATAGAAGCTAATAAGACTATGTCAATTAAATACAATCAATAGTGTAGTCGATCGATAAGGCAAGACTATTTTTATACCTTATTTCACAAACTTATTTTTTTAAATATCGTCACAGGAGGGCAAAAAAAAAATTAAAAATAAATTTTGTTTTCTTATTTTGCTAATGATTTTGCAAAAAACATCCAGATGGAAAAATAAAACTAAAATTGTATTATGTTTAACAGTGTAATAATGGGATAGTTAAATGCTTTACATTTATATTATTAAGCGCTGGTTACGCTAATGAAATTTTATTTTTATTCTAAATCATCATTATTGGAAGGCGGCAGGTTTACTAAACAAGTTATAAAGTCTCGCTTAAGTGCGTGGGCCTCTCAATGAGGTGTGTAAAATGTTAGGTGGTTAGATTGGGCAATCTTTAACTGGAAATTTTTTCCGGAAACTCGCCCCTTGCTTATAACGAGTAAATAATGGAATCGATCTTGAGTTCACAGAGTATATTTTGTATTGTATTATTCAGTATTGAGGAACACTCCATGGATTAACTGTTACATAATTTTGTATTTCATTAGACTTATTATTCCAATGAAGGGGTTGCAGTAAGATTTTAATATTCTAATAGTAGTGGTTTTACCTCCAAAACCATATTTGTACACATGGGGTACCAAAAGTTTTATGATTTTGTTAATATTATTACAGTACTACATTGTACTGCAGGAATTCATTTGATGATTCACTTGAAAGTGGTGCATTTGTTTCTGTTTATATTTTATTTATAGTTAAACTTAAAACTGAAACTAGATTTCTTCATTTATCATAGAGGTATACCTCCATGATTAGATATGTATCAGTTTATTAGTAATGTTGTTTAGTCTTTATTGATATTGTTTATATTATCATAAATATGTAAAGCTACTTAAAATCAAAATTTCCATATTAGAAGCGATGCTTTTAAAAAGGTATTTAATGGAAGATGTTATTGTAGATAGAGAATAGGAAAGTGTTATTTCAAAGACATGCAGTAGATGAACAATCAGTTAGCCTACACACTTTCATAATGAAAAAATAAGTAAATTGATCATAGCAGCTGGAGCTTATTGAGCCACAAATCCCGTGATTCAACTATATTGGTGGTAGCCATTGTGCGCGCTCAGTGGCGTAACTAGTCATGGGAAAGATAATGTCAGGGCGTGAGGTCCCTTGTGGGTCAGTAAAGTATTTCTGCTCAGAAAGACTTTAATGGGGTTGGGTAATATTCCTACTACCAAATTTTATGGCTGAAAAACTGGTCAAGTCTCAGTGGCATTGCGCTGGTAGTAGTAAGAGGAGGTAGATATCCCTTTTGGCTTACAGGCGTTCCGCCATCACATGTATGCGCCGGAACCTAGTAGATCTGTACATAAACTTGATCCCTGGTTCAATTCTATTTGCTGTTTTCCTTGTGTTTCAACTGTTGAAATGCAAATCTTTCAGGTGAGAGACGTTGTTTACTGTAAGTCGTTGACCCTGTGCATGATCAAGACCGCTGTACACTGTGGAGAGAGTAGCCTAGGGTATAGTCTCTCAGTATACTGCCTAATTCATCACTGGAAGAATTCCCCTAGAACATCATTCCACAACTTATTGGTTGCAACCCAATGTTGGGAGTAGTGGGAAAAATTTTTAGTTTTGTTCATTTCAACTGTGACTTTGAAAATGTGTCAAAATGTGTCTGTCTTCTCATAACTCATAGATTTCTGGCAGCAAATCTAGGATTTTATGTGTAGTAAAATGTCTGTAAATCATAAATTTTTACAACCCTATAGTGTATTATAAAAATTTGATAACTTGTGTGGTTTTGTTGAATTAGTAATTCAATGTTATATTTTAATTTTATATGGGTATTAAATTGATTTGTAGGTGATAGTATCTCTTAAAAAAAACTCCCCCATAAGCCCAGGGATGTTTATTCCGGGACTCTGATCGAGGGTCTAGTCGGCCTGTGTTTGGACCCACCCTATCAAACCCCCTGGTCCTCCACTAAACGACTATAATGGGTAAGTATTTAACTAATGTCCTGTCAGTCAAAATTTAACTATTTCGTTTTGTCGTTTGGTTAACTTTGTAGTAGTTCATTAATTATATATATTTTTTTATTCCTGTATGTATAATATTGTATTGAGATTATATTGTACATTGATAATAAAATTATTTTTACATTAAAAACATAGTTTTTCCCACCATAATGGACGCCATCTTGGAATTTGTCATGATGACATCATCATTCCGATCAAATTTTTTAATGAGAGTGACGAGTAACTATTTAGCCAAGTTGTTGTTACATTTCATATCCACAGTATATGTAAAAGTGACTAAAAACATAAATTATTTCTTAAATAGTTTAAAATAGGGTATTTTAGGTCAAAATTTTAAAGTGGCTGTAAAAAAAATTGCCCAAGCCCTAGGCATGGGGATTTTTTTTTCTGAGACACTATAGGGTATGCTGATTAAAAAAAAACCAAAAATTAATTTTTCTTTACTTTTCCCCTGCTAAAGTTCATTTCAGCAGTTTTACAACCAGGCTTGTATGGGATTGTCTCCGGTGTACTGCCCAGTCACCCCCAGAAGGACCCCGCTCGAAATAAGTTTTCTACTAGACTTTCGTGGATATCCTTGGTGTTTACACCGAATCAATCCAATGTGCAATTTTCAATAGTTTATTAACTACTGTATATAGTAACTCCAAGATTTTTAATGTGTACCTGGTTGAATCTGGGGATTTTAAAAAGGTGGTGCGGAATTGAACTGGCTACCCTACCAGACAATGTTGAGGCTAGTACAATGGGCTCCTAACAGCTTACTCCCCTAAGTATATTTACTTACCATACTTTATAGGCCTAAATTTTTTTTTTATGTCATTATATATATATTTTTTCTTATTATATACTATTTAAATGGTGTGCTTTTTTATTGGCACACTATTAAATCACCATTTTAAATACGTAGTATAATCTATACACAGTGTGCCACTTTGCATGTTCTATTCAGATAACCTTTGCCCTCCTTTGTTTGATGTTTGTAATAAAGTGGTAGCGATTGATAACTGTAACTGATTTAGCGATTGATAACTGTAACTGGTTGTGGTCAATGTTAAACCTATTTTAAGAGAATTTATATATTTCTATTCATCATCGTCATCATCGTCATCATCATCATCGTTTGTTTGTTTTATATTAAGTTTCAACATTAATTCAATAAATAAAAATTACAAAAAAAACCCATTAAAAGTAGAAAATTAAAACAACTTAATTCCAAAGTGGACCAATACAAAAAAACATGACATAATAATATAAATAGAAAAACTATTTACAATGCAATAACATTAGAAACTGTAGGAGAGATAGCATTACCATTGAAAAGAGAGCATATAATTTTAAATATATATTTACATGCTCTCTTTTCACTACTGTATTTAGAGCACAGAAATCAGCGCAATCTCTTTGCAATCTGCAAAGTTGTCAATGTCGAGCCTAATGTTTACGTAATGCATGTTGTAATCATGTTTCTTATACAAGTCACATATGTTGCTCATTCATGATGTACCTAGTTTTCAGGTATTTAAAAAGCAGTCCATCTGTTTATCTCAGTCAAGGCATCTCAGTGGGGATTATTAGCTCGTTTTGACATTTGATTTTTAATGTTTACAGTATGTATTGTTTATGAAATCAGTTTTAGAAAATGAAAGTTAGATAAAGTTGACCATCTCCAACTATTACAGTGTTCACACATTTTTTGTTATAAAACTCTCAGTCAGCTGGCTATAGATCACAGCATGCATAATGGAGGCCGGGTTTCTGGGCACTTCACCACCCTGAACCTGCTCTGAGAGTTTCTGGACAGGTTTGTCTCTGCCCATAATGCTCTCGTTGGGGGTCATTTAGTAGCCTTTGTGATAGAGATACCACCAAATGATCAAAGGTCTGTCATGTTTTAATGCTCTGTCCACACCAGCCAATTTTATGTGACAAATTTGTGTGATGCGCCCATATATGGGTTTGATGTGTCTATATATGGGTTTGATGTGTCTATATATGGGTTTGATGTGTCTATATATGGGTATGATGTGACTATATATGGGTATGATGTGTCTATATATGCGTATGATGTGTCTATTATGGGTATGATGTGTCTATGTATGGGTATGATGTGTTTATGTATGGGTATGATGTGTCTATGTATGGGTATGATGTGTCTATGTATGGGTATGATGTGTCTATGTATGGGTATGATGTGTCTATGTATGGGTATGATGTGTCTATGTATGGGTATGATGTGTCTATATATGGGTATGATGTGTCTATGTATGGGTATGATTGTGTATATATGGGTATGATTGTGTATATATGGGTATGATGTGTCTATATATGGGTATGATGTGTCTATATATGGGTATGATGATGTCCTATTATGTTTGGTGGTAGTGTGAACAGAGCATTTTCATGGAGAATACAAGACTGAAATGTTCAGTACTGTAGATAGGGACTTTTTATGTAAGTTTGCATATTATTGCTGCGAAGCAGCCAATTCATATTCTTGACAGCAATTTGACCTCTGAAAGGTCATTGTTTGTCAAAAAACATGCGCCTAGGAAAACTGAAAAGCGGAGTTTCCTTCTTTCGTTCTGCCGGGTAAAATCAATTACTTTAGGCGACGTTTGTAGACTAACCTACTCGTACCAACGTCCGCATGTCGCGACGCTGGAGTACTATTCAGCGTTTTTACTATATTTATAGGTTTCCTATTTCTACGTTTAATCGGCTCATGTCTCAGCCACAATATTTTGAGGCCAATATTGTTTACGAACCCAGTTAAAATTATTTACTAGCCTATTTCAACGTGCTAATTATTACATTTAGGCGACGCTTGTTGTAGACTGGCATAGTGTTTTCGGAAATAAATACCATTTTATACACATGCGCAGATCGATTCGCCAGCAGCGAGTCATCGCCAGCAGCAGTGAGATGTCACTGCAGCAAAACACTATTGTACATGGTACCAACACTCTTCTAATATAGACAATGGGTCGTGTCTCATATTATTTGTTATATTTTTATTATTCATTATTTTCACTTGACTCGCATAAATAATTTTGTTCGAAGAACATTTTATGCAGTTTTACTTCGAAACACTTCACTTGCAATTTGCAATTTCTAGTTTGTATTTTATTTATTCATAATATATGTTCATTATTTGTTCAATTTTTTATGAGATGTGCTTGGAATCTAATTTGTCTTATTTATGTCTCAGCTTTTCTACAGGGTGGCCCTTCCAGTTTGCTTATTCAAGTAGGCCTTTGCATAGGTCATTATAGATACTGTAGTAACTTTAGTGAATATTTGTTTTTTTTCAGGAGCGATGGCTGGGTCATGGGAGGTGATGACAGACAACAAAGCTTGCATTTTGCTTGAAATGAACCTTACTTTTGCTGTTCAGTATACTACAAATAAAGAAGTGAGTATCGTATTACTTGAAATGTAACATTGATCTGTTTTTATTCCACTTTCCTTACCCCCTCCCCTCCTTTCCCCTGTTCCTTATAATATTCCAACCCCAGTATCAACTCTTATCTACCACATTTGTTCACTTTGATCTATTGAGTATATGTCTTGTTAACATATTTTTTGAGTTTTTATCCAGTTTGTTGGCTCCAGTGAAAAGGAAAACTGCTTTTACCCTTATTGATTTGCCTACATGAGGCTTGCCATCCCATAATATAAACAGCATCAGTGACCAAACAATGAAAATGTTTAATATACTCTCCATATTCTCCACATTGTAAGCTTTAAATTGGCAAAGTTAAAGAATAAATGTATTATGGGGGCTTTTCTTTACTAAAGTATACAATACTGCCATATTCATATGCTAATTACTCAGTTTAACATATAGCAACGGTACACTGGTTTTTGGATGTGTCATGCCTCATGTAAGTATAATACATACTCCAAGTATTGAAATACACGCCATCGTGTTGGGATTCAATATTTCGAAATTAATTATGTCATCATCAGGAATGAAAAAATTATCCATATTAGCAAGCTTATATGCACTGAGATGTGTAAATCAAAACATTACCTCTAGTAGGTGACATAGCAGTGATTTAAACAAAAGATCAAAGCATTCTTACTCTAATGATCAAAGATACCTACAAAAACAAAGAAAGCTCTTTTGAAGCTCTGAGCCTCATTGTTAAGCAAAGGGTGTAGTCTACGTATAGCGAACGCTTCTTTAAACAATAGGATAGACCAGTTTCGGGAGCTGTCAATAATGTTAGTACTAGAAAAGAACCTAATTTATTACTTACATTACAGACGACATTATCATTTTCAAGTATACTTTGTAATCCTAAAACATACTGTATTGGTTCATTTAATTTCTTAAGTACATTATTAAGAACTTTTTACAAATGTTCCCCTTACTAAGGTAATTAATATAATTCTTGATAGGGTTTACAATAAGAAACTGATATCTACTAACCTTAAGAAAAATTTGCTAAGGAAACTACTTAGAGATTGCTGTACTAAAACTGTATTTACATGTAATAATGAATTTTATGTAGGTCTGTAGGTGTTACTTGGGTACTACATACAAGTTTACAGACATTGGTGAGGTCTGTAAGTGTTACTTGGGTATTACATACAAGTTTACATACATTGGTGAGGTCTGTAAGTGTTACTTGGGTACTACATACAAGTTTACAGACATTGGTGAGGTCTGTAAGTGTTACTTGGGTACTACATACAAGTTTACAGACATTGGTGAGGTCTGTAAGTGTTACTACAAGTTTACAGACATTGGTGAGGTCTGTAAGTGTTACTTGGGTACTACATACAAGTTTACAGACATTGGTGAGGTCTGTAAGTGTTACTTGGGTACTACTACATACTTGTTTTTACACTGATGTGCATTCAGACAATGCAAGAATTTGTTACAATATGTCACATTTTGATAGAATTTTGTTGTGTGAATAAGGCAAAATCTGCCCCCAACTTCAGGCTTTTTGTGTAACAATTAAATTTGGATATTGTTTATAAAGGAGTAGGGGAATAGCCCATAACTTACTGCGTCACTGTGCTGTATTGTGTAAAGACGTGGTCATTGACTATCTAACCGCCATGAACAGGCGGTTATACAATCGAGTTCGCCTAAGTCGAATCTAAAGGGACTGGCATAAAAAGTTTGAATTATACAGATTTCGACTTGCACATTTTCGAAAAAAAAATATTAACATAGAATAATACTATGTGTACTCAATGCCCACAAAATCGAATTTCACACAAAAACCGAACACAAAAACACAAGTCCCAAACTCATTCCTATTCTTCTTTTAATAAAATACTTTCCGAAAACATGAACTCCCTATTCCAAATCTCGGACGATTTGTCCAATTCAGGACGGTAACACTCACTCGAAAAACCAGACGATAGTTTAATAGACATCGTTTAACGACAAGCATACCAGACGCTGTGAAAACAAGACGTTTAGCTATACTCGCATTGCCTTGGAGATTATCTGTTGATTAACGCGACACACCAGTAGACGTTTTCTTGGTTAATTATGAAGTGAAATTTACGCATTCCAATGTTTTAATAAGTGTATACAGTATTCTTGCTTTTAATCCTTAAAAACCATTTGGAATCAACCTGAAA